AAAAAAAAAAAGCTCACGCACTTCAAAACCTAACCACTTTTTCGTTTTATTCTAAAAAAAAGGTTACGCAATCAGTGACTATGTGTAGTATGCACTAACATTTTGGGGTGCAACCGTAGGGTAATAATCACTCGAGTGGTGGGAGTAAACATCTCGAGATATCTCGAGTGATCTCAATAATCGAGTACCACTCGATTTTTCACTCGAAATCTCCCATCACTAGAAATTTTACTTTTTATTTGACATTGACAGCTGTACTCCTTACTGTCTCTTAAATTTGTTCGTATTGTTGGTTTTTTAATCAATTTTTCAGAATGGCAGCCCGTTCTGCAGCATCCAGGCGTGTGCCAGAAAATGAATCAACAATCGCTTATGTTCAGGCTGATGGACTGGTAAGTACTCACTTAAAACACGTTTAAGTAACCATACGGATATCCTAACCTAAAGTAAGACATTAAAAATGTTTAATTTTAGGCTGTTATGAAAATAGTGAAACACTGCCATGAAGAATCTACAACAAATATGGATATTGCTCAAGGAGCGTTATTGGGGCTGGTTGTCGATAACAGATTAGAAATAACCAATTGTTTTCCATTCCCAAAACAGACTGATGAAACTATGGATGAAGATGAGTATCAGCTAGCCATGATGCGCAGACTGCGGAGGGTTAATGTTGATCATTTCCATGTAGGTTGGTATCAAAGTGCTGACGTGGGAAACTTTTTAAGTCTTCCACTATTGGAATCACAATTTCACTATCAAACGTCGATAGAAGAATCTGTAGTTGTTATTTATGATACCCAGAAATCTTCCAGAGGTTTCCTCACTTTTAAAGCCTACCGTTTAACTCCTCAAGCCATCGAAATGTACAAGGAGGGTGAATTTACCCCTGAAGCTTTGTTGAAATTGAAAATAGGTTTTGAGAATTTATTTACTGAAGTACCATTCCTGATTAAGAACTCTCCATTGTCAAATATTATGATGTCAGAATTAGCAGAAATGGTGCCGGAAGAAGAAGGCTCTAAATTTTTAGATCTGGGCACTGCCTCTGTCTTGGAAGGTCAACTGCGCTGCTTGATGGATCGAGTCGATGAACTCAATCAAGAAGCTATTAAGTTTAACAGGTACCAACAGTTGGTTAACAGGCAACAGCAAGACAAGCAGCGCTACTTGCTTAAGCGGGCACAAGAAAACGCTGCCCGAGCAGCCAAAGACGAGCCGGCGCTACCAGAGGAAGACATCAATAAGCTGTTCAGACCACACCCTGTGCCGCCAAGGTTGAATCCGATGATTATCGCTGGGCAGATTAATACCTACAGCCAAGCCATCTCTCAGTTTTGCTCTCAATCTTTGGCTAAGCTGTATATTACGCAGGCATTACAGAATGCCAAGGAAACGAATAGTAATCATTAAATTTTTTATATTACTGTAAAACTTTCCCTTAAATAAAATACGAAACAATTTCAAAGTAATTCTTTTAAATTTAATTTTGATTGTGTTTAGTTTTATATATATATATTATTTGTGAAAACAATAAAATATTGAGTTTAAAAAAAATTTGAGTAAAAAAAATTACCATACATTTGCAGGTTTCGTAGAAACCTCTTGAAAAAGAGAAAATAAAAACACATGAAAACATGAAAAAGTTTCATGTTTTATGCATTAAACACCAAATTATTATGTAAAAATTAACTACAAAATGACCTGGATAAGTTTGGGAAATCCTAAAAAAGTAAGGGAATTCTATATTACTTTTGAACTATCGGCCCTGACTTGTAATTTATTCCTTTCAAATTTAAAGGTCTTTAAAAATGTTAAGTGCTGTTAAAGTTATTTCTGTATTCTTTAACTTCTCTTCGATTGAAATTTTAAAGGATTCCTTTGGCTAAAAGTCTTAATTTATGCAATGTTGATAAAGTTGAGAACTAACTAAATAAAAATGATAATCATTAGATGTGTTTGGTTACCAGGTTTAGAACGGTGTGAACTATAAGGTGAACTTTTAGAAGGTATATGAATAAAACATTAAGATGTAGACTTATAAAGTTATTTGATCCAGAAACTGAAAATCAATACATCAAATGCCTACCTTTTGTNACTTTTCTAAAAGTTCATATATATGACATGTATTTGGTGTCAAATTAATCAGCAAGGCATTAGCAATATAAAAAAACTAATTTGAGTATAGTTTTTTTTTAACAAAATTCATCTGATATATATAATGATATATATTTTGATATATATCACCCAAAACTAAATAGCATGCTATTTTACATCACTACAATAAAATATTGAGTTTAAAAAAAATTTGAGTAAAAAAAATTACCATACATTTGCAGGTTTCGTAGAAACCTGGAAAACTGGGAATACCGGGTAGTCGGGGAATTCATTGTTCTTCATAAAAAATGGGGAATAGTCGGAGAATTTAGAAGTATTCATAATAGTCGGGGGATTTTATGTTTGCAACCGTGAATTTTGTGAAAGCCAGCCCTGGGATTTTGAAAGAGAAAACTATGTGGTTCTGAAACCTTTATAAGAGGTTCTTTGGGTATAAATAAGATTATATAGTCGTCTTGATAAAGTTTCATGTTTTATGCATTAAACACCAAATTATTATGTAAAAATTAACTACAAAATGACCTGGATAAGTCTGGGAAATTCTAAAAAAGTCAGGGAATTCTATATTACTTTTGAACTATCGGCCCTGACTTGTAATTTATTCCTTTCAAATTTAAAGGTCTTTAAAAATGTTAAGTGCTGTTAAAGTTATTTCTGTATTCTTTAACTTCTCTTCGATTGAAATTTTAAAGGATTCCTTTGGCTAAAAGTCTTAATTTATGCAATGTTGATAAAGTTGAGAACTAACTAAATAAAAATGATAATCATTAGATGTGTTTGGTTACCAGGTTTAGAACGGTGTGAACTATAAGGTGAACTTTTAGAAGGTATATGAATAAAACATTAAGATGTAGACTTATAAAGTTATTTGATCCAGAAACTGAAAATCAATACGTCAAATGCCTAGCTTTCGTATATTTTGTGCCCAAAAAAAATTTAAACTTTAGCAAACGTTTTGTTAATGCGACTTAGAACGTTTAGAAGTTCAGAACGATATGAACTTGGTAACCAAACACCAAACATAACTACGTAAATCACAGATTAATAAAAAGTTGTATAATCATAACTTTTTATTTCCCGCCAATTTGCATTACAGCAGCGCCTCTTTTGACGCGTTCCCATAATGTAAAAGAACGAACTTCATTAAAGGGGTTTACAAAAATTAACTCGTAGTGATCTAGATATATCGTTCTCTCCCTCTAAAACCATAAGAATTACAAAGATAAAGATAGTGATCTGAGCAGTCCAAGTGAATTTTCGAAAACGCCTTAAGAATGTACCACTAAATTCATGTTACCTATTTAATTTTATTTTAAATATACTTGTTCTTTTGATTCGAATATATTCTTAATATAAAAGCAAAACAGTAGATCTATTAAGGAATATATTTGGAAACTAATTTTTTCTAAATTGAAAATTGCGAATTTTTATTAGCATTTTTGTATTTAAAATTTAATTACAGCGCGTTATTATACACCCCTTGGAATAACCTAGGATTACTTTTCTAATCGTTTGCAAGAAAAAGTGTAAACCGTTCATGCAAAAGTAAATTGCTGCTTTCTACTTTAATTAAAAAAAGTCGTAATAGTTTATAAATGTATAAAACATAAAATAATATTGAAATGAAAATACAGAATCAGGTATTTGTCACATTTTTAAATTTTATATACAGAGTGTTCCTGTTTTTTCGTTTATAACTTCAACAAAAGATATAGCTTGTAAAAATAATAGGGGTTTTCCTATAACATTTTTCTCTAAAACGTTACGTTTTCGTGGTAATAAAGAGTGTTAAACTTAAAAAAAATATTATTTTTTGAACTAATAAAAAATAAGCTAATATTTTGACGTGAAATAATTTTCGTCTAAAGTCACTGACGTAGTTATGGGATTTTGTTCGCATAAATCCCCCTAAACTCTGTACCAATAATGGAACAAATTTTTTCGGTTCAAGTATTAAATATTGCTCCTCTTTTCTATAAAAGGATATTCTTGAAAAGAGTAGCTAGGGATCCTCTGTTTGATATTTTGACTTGTAGTGAGTGTTATTATTTTATGGAATTACATAAATATTGGATAAGATATTGACAGAGACAGGCACAAGGCTGCAATTTCCAAACACTCTAAATCATTCTGGGTCTCTGTACAACCAATCACAAACGTGATAGAAAATAGCCAGTTTACGGCGCCAAATTTGAAATGTGGTATTATCTCACAGTTTTTTTAATTTGAAACCCCACTTTCAAGGTCTATAACTTCTCAGGGGTGAAGCTTAGTATAAAGGTAAGCTGCGTTAAATCACCATATTTTGGGCTCTCTTACATGCCCCTGCTATGTGTCGGTTCTTATGCGAAACACCCATAGTGTTAGAAGGAAAATTACAGATCTTGTTAAATAAAAAATAATTTATTGATTAATTTCCCTATTACATCAAACATTATTTTTACATTAATGAATATTTTTATATAATATAGAAGAGGTTTAATGCAAAATGCGTTCCAGACTTTTATTATGGTACCAAAAATAATACCATATCAAAAAAAATCGATCTGATTCATCGTCTTGTATTGACAAACTAAATTTGATCGACTTAAACCTCTTCTGCCTGTATGTATCTTCTTACATTTTCCTATGAGATTTACCTACTGTCTCCAGTAAGAACGAAAATTATTTTTTATTCACATTACTATTGCACAAGCTGGCCAAAATATACACAAAACGATTGTGCAACTATAGTTATACATTTAGTCATCAATATAAATGAATTGAACGCTGTTTTTCAGCTTAAACTAAAACAATATCACAAATAAAATAGATTCGACTAGAACAATAACAACTCCCGCTGATTTGAGAAATTTTATGCGGTTTTGAGAAACTGTTTGCATAAAGTGAATCAACTGATTCTGTTTTAAAAAATTTAAACTTAAGAAAACTGAAAAATTAAACAGATGTAAACAGTAACTGCCAAATTAGTTCTCCATTAAGATACATTCCTAACAATATTTACTATAGTCTTTTTACAGTACAAGTGATGATACTGGTGGAAACGAACATGTGGTGGAAAATGCGATATTGAAATCTTAAATTAGGACAGTTAATACATATCTCGAGTAGTGGTAGTCCCATTACAATATCTAAAACTGACAATTTATATATTTTGTAGGGCTAAATTTATGGTAACATGTAACCACTGGCTTTGCTTGTCCCATTTCAAAAATAGTCAGTATATACAGAGGACCTTTTTGTCTATTTCTTCCATAAAACTTAGACAGGTATTTTTCTTAAAGAATATATGATTTGAATTTTATACAGGGTGGTGGAGTATTCAAAAATTAAACATAAAATTTGCCGAATAATTAGTGGCAGAAAAAGGTGTCGATGTATTTGTAAAAATTGATTAAAATAGCTATTCTAGTATCTAGAACGCAAAAGTAGTTCGCGTTCGAGATGCAAACAATATTTTTTCGAAAACTGCCATAAAATAAGACAATTGTGTTATATGCAACAATTTAATTTATATTTGAAATCGTTTGAACCGTGTTTGAATCAAAAGGGTTCAAACAAATTAATAAAATTAGACCTTCGACGATATGGTCAGTACACTAAAGGCGTGTTTAAACTGAACGAACATAGAGCTAGAGCTAGAACAAGAGCATTCTTTCTCGATCTTTTAGTGTAAACGAAAGATCGTTCTTAGCGTTTACACCAAAATATCATCGAGCAAGAATGAGAACCAAGAACTAGAATTCTTGCATAGATATTTAGATCAGCCGAGCGAATGCTCGAACACAAGAACACTTTGAAGAGACCGCTCCGGGGAGCGAGCACGTCCGAACACGCAAGAACGCTCTAAGCATCTGTTCGCACGCTCTACTACCGTTTACATCAAGCGAGCGAGCATTCTTAGAATATTCCATAGAATCTTTACGAACGCAAACAAAACAATGAAAGAATGCTCAACGTTTGTTTACACTAAATGAATTTGATACAGTGGGGATAGAATGAGCATTCGCTCGTCTGATGTAAATCGGTCTTAAAAGATCGAGAAAGAATGCTCTTGTTCTAGCTCTAGCTCTATGTTCGTTCAGTTTAAACGCGCCTTTAGTCGACGCAGAGCGTTCTAGTACGGCAGCGAAGACATTTATAGAAAATTCTATACAAAAAAAAAACTTCAGTCGCAAATAAATTGTTACCATCTTCAGCAAAGCCTAAAGGATCTTCTCAATAATTCAACGTGCCCAGTAAACAAATAATTACAGCAGCAGCCTCATTGAGCACCCAGAACTAAAAGTTACGATAACACAGAGCCAAACAAAAAAAAAGTTGTCTGTACTTTTCATGCGACATAATATGTCATCCAGAAGTATTTTTGCCTCCTGATCACGAATCCTGTGTCAGAATTGGGCTATCACAGGAATTACCTAACCTCAATAAACATATTAAAAACAGCAAAAATTCACGAAAAAGTGCTAGGAGAAAAATCCGTGGTCAGAATTGGTGGTTCTTTTTCTAACCTCAAAATAAAAACGGGTCAATTAAAGTCAGATATCACGAATTTTCAAAAAATAACAGATTTGGTATACGAGGGTTTTCGAGGTCACTGATCACGGATCCGAAGTCAATTTTACAAAATTCAAGATGGCGGACCGAAGATGGCCGACCAAATCTTCAAAAAATAACAGATTCGCGCCAAATTTTGTTAAAGGGGGGTTTTAGGGTCGCTGATCACGAATTCGAGGTCAATTTTGCAAAATTCAAGATGGCGGCCGACCAAATTTTCAAAAAATAACACATTCGCGCCAAAGTTCGTTGACGGGATTCTGTTTATTTTTTGAAAATTTGTGTATAGCTGTGTAATTGACAGCACTGGATCTGGCATTTTAGCTCTCTGATGCTCACTGCATTATCGGCACTTTCAGCTTACATGTACTGCGAAATAAATTGTAATCATCCTGTTTATAATAATTACTGTTTTATATTGAAATGTTATATTACTTTAAATGTATATTGTTTTATTAATAAAATTATAAATAAGTATCGTAAAAGACACTTTGTCAACCGAAAATTTAACGAAAATGTCGACTTTTGATGATAGTTCTCGAAAAAATATACTTTTGGAGATTTCTACAGGGTGTCCTACTTAAGATGAATGGATGGAAACGTTCTTAGGAAAGTATAGAAGACATCGAAGATAACGCAAGGTCTGGGTGCAATAGAACATCTATCGATGATGAACGTGGAAAAAGTTAAAGAGATTGTGCTTCCCGATCCCGATAAAAGAATCACCGTCAGAGAGGTTGTTGAAGATATAGGAATTTCATATGTCTTACGCGAAGCGATTTTTACGAATGTTTTGAGCATGGAACTAATGGTAGCAAAATTTGTTCCGGAACTGCTGAATTTATTAAATAAGTAAAACAATTCCAATCAAAATTTATCGTGAAAGCTATTTAATTTTGGAATACATACTCCCTGTATATTAATCAGGAAACCATGCGCACTATACATACCGCATTTTGAAGAAACATTTACACATCAGCATGGCACAGGATTCCAAATTCGCGGGTTGAGATCATGATCGTTTACAGATTCATCATTGAAAAAAATCAAATCGTCCCAATATTATTCGACACGTTCTGATTGACCGGCTTGAACGGTTCAACGGTGTCCACGATGGCCTCGCTGAGATACAGCCTGATTTTAGGCGGCAGGAAGAGTTTCTCCAGGTCCTGCCTGCTCTTGATCCTCTTGACTATCACCGCCCTGCAGCGGTCTTGAAGGTTCACGAAGTCTCTCTTCATGGCGTCCAGGAACATCTCAGTCTTTGCGGCAGTCGAGCAGATGATGGGGTAGAGGGGTTCCTTCACCTCGTTCAGGCCCCTGAAGGCGACGCCCAGGCATTTCTCGTCCTTGTAGTAGGTCAGGGTGCCGGCGATGCCGTCGAACAGGATGCCTATCTTCGTCGCGACGTTCTCCCGGAAGGGTTTGGTGTAGTGCGTCCACCTGCCCCCGTGCCAGAGGAGGCCCTTGTGGGAGAGGCCCCAGCCTTGGTCGTCCTTGCCCAGCAGATTGGTGAAGGAATCGGCGTGAAGGCGGGCTTTTTTTGTACCTGCAAATGGACCTTTTAATAACACTCTCTAATTAGGTTACAAAATAAAATTGGAATACTGTTAAAGCAACTATACAGGGTGATTCAGTCATAATGTCATTAATTTTAACCACGTATTCGGAAGGCTTAATAAAGACAGAAAATCGAACAGCGTTGCCAAGTTCACATCATAATCTGTGTTCACATTTAATTAATCCGCTTTAGTATACGGATACATATGTACGAAACCAATAAAACGCAAGTAAATAAAGGATCATATGCTGCCTTTTATTATAACTAATTTTAATAATTTATTGCAAAATGTTTTAACAAGCCTGATTTCTCGAAGTCAACTTTCGTTAAAAGAAAATAAATAAAGCAAAGGTTTGTAGGCACACTGTATTTTATCAAATAAAAAAAGTCGGCACACTATAAATACCCGAATAAACAAAATACACTACACACGGTTACAAAACCTTTACCTAACAATTTAAAGCGTTTATTCAAATCTACCACCCCGCATTATCTCCCGCATTTATCCCGCAAAGGAGTTAACATAACACATTTTCAAAAAGTTCAAGCTTTTGAAACAGCTGTTTTCCCCCATCGTCTTGAATTTTGCAATTGGTTCCTAAGTGCAGCACAACTTTATTAACAAAGTGCTCTGGACGGATGAATGCTGTTTTACTCGTGCTGGCATTTTAAACAGGTAAAAAACATAAGTATTGCTTTCTCAAAAACAATAAGTGCCTACCTAGGATACATCAAAGTTTAGATTTACACTAAAGTTTACATTTATTATGTAAACTTTGGTTATACGCAACTGCATATTGAAATACTAAAACTGTGTAATATTTAACATAATAAATTATGAAACATGAAAACGTTAATAATATTAAAAATGATAAATTGTAATAACCGTACATTCGAAAACAATCATCCCTATTCATTGATGACACCATTTTCCTTTGATAAAAGACCGATAACTGTTTGCTCTACTTTGCATGGAATACGATCCTACTACAGTTCGTATTAGTCTAGGAGCCAGATCAGGTTCCGTGTACTAGCTGTAAAAATAAACTTTTTACAGCCATTTCAACATTTAATTTGTTGATAACAATAAATCTGACCACTTTCAGGCTTTGCGACCAAGTTTTTTGGATTCAGGAGGTCAAAATACTTTAGAATAAGTTGTTTGCAGCCGTGGTACTCTCGTTAGCAACGGAACCCTGTCTGGCTCCTAGACTAAAGTGCACACGTGCAAATTAGAAGGTTATTGATCTCGACACAGGTTAGCCTTGGTCGGAAACACGTAGCGAGTTGTTTATTTGTCTCTGTCCGATTATATTTTTATCTTCTATTACTTACAGTCAATATTTAAATACTACATACATTTCACCCTCTCTTTATAATTTATCTAGTGAGTGTTGTTTTTTTATGTCATTATTTCTGTAATGAAATTGAAATGGTTATGAAATGAAATTTAAATTATTTGAACTCTTGGGGTTTTGTAACTTCAATATTAAATTTTATTTAAAGTGAAACAGAGCTAATTTCTTTGCAGCCATAATAGTCACATTTGGTCAGATGAAAACTCGCTCACTACTCGTCGGTTTAGCTTTCAGAGGAGATTCGGTGTCAATGTATGGATAGGAGTACACAGGGTCGGAAAGTCCCCATGGTTCATCGGCCGTTACGTGAGAGCGATAAAGTAAGTCATAGAAATCCGTGCGAGAGTTAAATAATTATTTGAAAATAGTTTTTTTCAGCTTAAATATGCATTTAATTTTTTTTTAATCACGCCATCGTATTATCTCATTTTTCTCTATTTGCTCTTAAAACTAAATGACATTATGACTGAATCACCCTGTATAAACTAATATTCAAGACAATCAATGAAACAATACTTTTTTACCTATTCCGAACATCATACTCGTCCCGAATATCCTCCTGGACAAGTGCAGCTCCCAGAAGTACCGCCCGTTGTTGAGTACCCTGGTACCTCTCACCCCGGCGGTGCCGCTGCTCCAATTCGGGTGGAAATGAGCGATCCTGAAGTTGGATCCGTACAGTCGGACCTCGGGACTCCTTTCTCTGCGGTCCCATGTCCAGAGGTCGTCACAGCCGTTGCGCAAGGGGTTGGTATCCGCCCCCGAGGCCATTTCTTCGGCTTCGCCCCCAGAAGCCTCCGCCATCTGCTATGCTGAGGGGGGATGCCACACCTGAGGGGGCTCATCGACTCTGAAGCAGACATACATCGGTTTACAGTTTATATCGACAAACTTTAAAGGGAGATTAGAGCTGCATATTGCTCTACGCCGAGAGAAATTTTTTGCTACTGTTGGTAAAAATTCACTAATTGTAGCAAAATATCCGCATTAAATAGTCTCCAAGTGATTTGTCTTCTTAGCGCAACGAAATATGCTTTTCACTCGCAGTAAGTAGAAAGCTTTGCTAGAAATTTTTGTTACTCCAAGCGAGTCAACTTTTTAAATCCTAAATGTGGGTCCCAATAAATATAAGAAGGTTAATTCAATTGCTGTTGGTGAGTTGAATAATATATTATACAGGGTGTTAATTAGGAATGTGCACAAACTCTAAGTAAATTTTGAAATATTCCTTTTTCTATTACATCTCTGAAGTGGTTTGATGCAGAATGATGAGACTTAGGTTAATAATTTATCTAATCAAAAATAACAATCTAGTGAATTCGAAGTTAAATACGTGTACCAGTGACGGAGACACCGGGAGTTACTTTCACTGACAACCCCAAAAGTTTGATGCCATAGTAACTTTTTGTGGTGTTTCCAAGAAAAAAGGTCGCCTTCATTTTATTCGAAAAACGAATAATTTTCGATTTATCTCTTTTAAATTTCTTTTAACGTTACCAAACAATCTATAAAATGTAAAAGAACTACAGAACTTATCGTTTCCCAAAAAAAGTTTATAGGACTTTTTTGCTAGCAATACAAATTAACCGTCACAATTTCGAAAAAATTAATGTCGTGAAATTTTGTATTTTTGATAGAGGTAGCAAGTGGTGTGATCCTCAAAAAAATAGCACCATTATTTCCTCGGATTTTTCATAATTGTTTTGTATTTAAAATCGTAATAATGGTAGTAAAGAGTTCTAGAATTGTGTTAAATTTAATGAAGTGCTCGGTAACGTTAATGAACATTCAAAAAAGTAATAATTTCAAAAATATCTTATACTTATTCTTGAAACCATCTTAAAGAGTTAGAAGTAATAGCAGAATTTTCAAAATATGCATCAGTCGCGTCTTTTTTAGTTTCTAATGAAAGTAATGTCCGGATCTCCATCCGCGGCAGTGCTACATATGTTTTTATCCGAATTCATTTTCGTCTTCAGACATTTTAAAAAGTAATTTTTTTTCAATTTCAACACTCCGCATCTCGAAATATAATATAATATGCGGACTCATATTTATAACCTTTTTGGTTTATTAAATTCACTGAAAAGACACCTTAAAGCTTGTCGACGTACTTAAATAACACTCTGTGCATATATGCGTACTTAAAAATTTAATTCAGAATACATATATTTTTTCACATGTTTTCCAATACTCTTACGAAACTTCATTTCATATTAAATTCGTTTGTCTGAGGAGTTTTTGTTTTCGAAATGCAGGCCTCAGCTATCTATAATCATATTTAAATGAATTTTGGTACTTAAAAGAAGACTTTTAACTTACCCGTTGGACCTAGATTAGAAAATGAAATAGTTGGTAAACATTACTGTCCAAACTTAATCAAAAACATTTTTTGATTAAGTTTGGACAGTACCATCTAAATTTATTAATGTTTTTTCGAAATAAAGTTCAGTGATATACTTTTTAATATAAAAAAGAGTAAATTAAAATTGTACCAATTAAAAGATCATTTAAAAGTAGTATCAAATATCAGTCAATTCCCTTCGTGGTTTTCTAATATTACAAAAAATTTTCATTAATTTTCAAAACTTTAACATCACCTTACGAGATAAAAATTTATTGCCAAGTTATTTTTCAATAACTATTTATTTTTGGGTTTTGTCTTACATCAAGTAAAATGTCTCGCATCATATACTTTGCACATGCTTTTATAAGAATGGAATTAATCATAGCAACACAGTTACAAATTTAAAAATATGTTTGAAGTTTACAGACATATGAGACGAAATGTTGTTGGAATCCCAACATATTAATGGGATTTGCTTTAGAAATGTGAATAGTTACCCTCTTCGTATACATATATGAGTCATATATCTGTAAACCGTACGTACATTTAAATCGATATCGTGGAAGAATGCACATAAAATCGGCAATTAGAGATAAAAAAAACTACAAACTAGGTATTAAAATTACAGTCATACGTTTTTAAATATTGAAGAGTAGTTCTGAAGTTTTTAGAAAGTGTTATATATATTTTGCAGTAGGTAACCATTATGCAATTGTTTTTGTTTTATTTTCAACTGTTTCAAATTTTCAGTTTAATAAAAGTACATAGTAAAAAATTAATGTAATGTCTTGGATTGAATTATAATAAGCATAAGGAAAACCGAATATAACAAATCTTCACAGAGATTTTAGAGTTAACATGAAGGAAGGCCCTTTGAAATTGTTTGTAGATGATTGACCTGAACACCTATATATTGATTATTTATATATTTCAGTTTCTGTTTTTCGCCTATTTACGGCATTGCAATCGACACAAAAAATATAAAACAGAGTTAACAATATGGTGCATTGATTTATTATAAAATACTTATAATCGCAATAGATACACTTATTCTTGGTTGGATGATATTGCAGTGTTCATATCGAGCTATTTCGGAATTATTTTCTCATTTTTTTTTTAAATTGATATAACTGCACGCTTTTGCCCTGTGCTCATTAAACATGTATGCAGGTGATAACAATGGCGGCCTTATCGATTATTTAGTGATAAGAAACCTGACAAAAACTGCACGAAATTTTTCACACAATCCGCTCGAACTTACCGTCTGATCCTGAATTCCCTATCCACACTCTTAGTAGGCTGCACACTGGTCATTTTCCTCTATCCGCGAATATTTCTCGGCACCAATATTAAAGAAATATCCCGCGGCGCGCTGCAAGTGGACGTCGCGACGGTGCGAGGGTTGAGACCGTTCGCGACTCGAACAGAGTCATATCTGCGCAACCTAGATAGATGGGGTAGGGAAATCGCGAGGTGATATGGAGAAACCCACCCTCGCACTAAATGCTCAGCTAGGATCGGGGGGGTTCAATGACCCTCTGCAATTAATATGTGGATATTTTAAGGGGAATTTTTAAGCTGCATATTTATGGCGAGGAGTTCCACACTTGTGAAGTTTGGGGGAGGTATGGGGTTGGGGATTATCTAAATGTTTGATTTGTGCTTCGGCGCAAGAGAGATGATCGGCCTGGACTGTACGAAACTTTAGAAGAAAAAATAATAATTGAAAACCTGTATATTAAGGAAATAATGGTACTGAACTTTAAAAAGATATTTTTTTAATTAAAAATGTATTATTAGGGTTATTTTTTCAATGCAATCAGCAAGGATTTTACTTACTCTGTGGATATACTAACAGAACACTTTGGAATTGAATTGAAACCATCTAATATTAAATAACCTCTATATTTTAAATATATCACAGTTTATTCTCGCTACACAATTGTATAAATATACGAAATTTAAACTTGAAAAAATCAATGGTACATCGACAATGCTGCCCTCTAAATTTAAAAAGATTCTACCCAAACTTCTACTTCTACCCGGTAGAGGGCACCGTCGTCTTCAACCTCTAAAACCCGCAGTAAACCCCTAACCACTACTGTCATAGCTGTCACCTGTCACAACAAATCTTTGATACATATTTTGGCGATTATTTAATATTGTGTTGTGACTGTGCATAAAAATGGCTCCCCATGGGAAATGCTGTGGCGACGGAGGTCATCATCATGAAGAACCGGGTGAAATGGGCATCCATTACAGCTTATATACCAAGATTAACAAGGATAATCTAGAATGTCTCAATGAAGTCAGGGAAGGATCAGGAAAAACAGTTTTTAAACCCTGGGAGGAACGTCTCAACTTCGACTTGGTAAGTGGGGTTATGTTTTTTGTTGATATTTTTGTGTATTAACCATAGAATTAGGTCTAAGGTTTTCCTCAGTTTGTAGAGTCGGATGGCGATGAAGAACTATTATTTAACATTCCCTTTGTGGGAAACGTAAAGTTGAAAGGTATTATAGTAATAGGAGAAGACTCTGATAATCATCCCTCAAAAATGAGACTGTAAGTGAAATGTAATGTAATAGTCAGAGAGTGTTATAAAAATTTGGTCCTTGTAGGTTTAAAAATAGACCTTCTATGACTTTCGATGACATAAATGCAGTACCAGACCAGGAATTTGAATTAGTTAAGGATAATACTGGTCTTACTGAATATGTAACTAAGTAAGACGTATATGTTTCTTATATTATTTCATTCTTACATTGCTACGGTTTTAGGGTAGTTACATTTAACAATGTGAGCCACTTAACAATGCATTTTCCGACCAATTTCGGAGCGGAAACTACTAGGATTTATTATATTGGCCTTAAAGGCGAATATTTCGAGCCGCATCATCACGGCGTTACTATTTGTACGTACGAAGCGAGGCCAATGTCGCAGGATCATAAAAATCCTCTAGAAGAATTCACCCAATCTAGGCTGGGACAGTAAGAATATCTTTTCCAGTACTTAGAGTTGTTTAACAGCATTTGTTATAATTTGTGATGTTTAAAACCTAAAATTTTATTACCTGTTTAGTTTCAAGTGTTAATAAATAATTTGTATATTGTTTTAAAATTTTCTTATTTATGTTACCTTGGGTGTAAGTAAACAAAATAAATAACATTTTTGAAGGTCGAAGTGACTGCAAATGGAGATGCGTGAAGTTTACAACCTTTTCTCAGTAATAGGCATTCAAATAATAACAAATGCCTTACTTAGAAACAATAGGCAGTTTTTTTTTGGAGGGAAAAATATTCACTTCAATGAAGGAAATTATTAAGCATGACGAACATCTTCCAGTAAAAAAAAACTACTTTGCCTCTTGTTGCTCTCTGGTTGCACTATTTTTAAATGCTCACTTTATTTCAGGTCTGTTTTGCAACCAAATAAAGTACAGACAAAATACAGTGGTTATTTTGACAAATCTTAAGACTATAATGCTCGCATTTCTCAAATGGCTACATTGCTTCAAAGGCCTTTTTCGTTAATTATGTCTCTCAACAGGTATACTACTAAGCCAAAGTATAATAAGACTGTGTAACAATTAGACTTAATTTCAGTTTTTGTTGAAGTGCCTTTTGGTGACAATTAATTCTGAAAGTTCAATTTAAAATAAGTGCAGGGGAAACATTATATTATGTTAGATGTTAGTTTGTATCAATCTTATTTATAAATCGTATATTGAATATCAGGTATATATTTTTATGTGGGCATTATTTGGACTGAACTGCTTAGAACGATGCATATCGAGCAGTTTTACAGGTGATACATTTATTAATTATTATAGTCGGGATCTATTTAGAATTTAGTTATATTAGGTCGAATATCATAATTATTGTGATAGATAATATAAAATTTAAAAATCAAGTCTAAACTTTTTTTTATTATATTCATTGTTTTAAGAATTGAATAAAATTTTATAATAAATAGTTACTTAATAAATGTTAACAGCAACTGGTTATGCAGTCGTGAATACACTAACCTGTATAGTAAGTTGCATAAGGGTTCCAATTTTTAAAGAAATGCATGTAGAAATTAGTTACATTTACATTTCTAATTTATATCATATTTGGAATCAAGTACATACTATCTTTTTTCATATTAGAATTTCAGTTTTAATATTAAAGAAGGTTTTGTAAATACCACGAATGCATTAGTCTGTATAGTAAATTGCACAAGTGTTCTAGTTTCACAAGAAATTTTAATTTCCACTCTAGATTTAGATGCCCATGACCCATGACAGTATTGTTTTGTTTATACCTAGCAGTATTTTTCGTTATAAAAAAATTACAAAAAGTATAGTGTAACGCTTTTCTAGCAAAGTTTTTAGCACAATAGAACTAAGGTAAGTCGGTAAGTATTTATTTGTTTAAATAAAATATTTAATTCCTTTTTTCTACAAAACTAAATGAATTTGTATATGTATGATATACTGTTTATTTGTGATGTCTGTTATAATTAAATGGCTAGGCAGGCTAGGTACATATTTTAATGTTTCTTGTATAATGATTTCTATTTAATTGATTTTGAAATAGATATTTAATAATGTTAACGATGTTATGTAGGTTTTCAATACTCTCATTAGCTTTTTATGTCCGTGAGAAAAACAAATAAAACAAATTCATAGGAGTAAAATCCATTTATTAACAATATAAGAGCTGAAAACAAATCACTAAGTTTTTTTATGTAGACTTCTGGAAATTCTTAAATCTACGCCCCTAAGAAACTTAGTGAGATGTTAAATTTTATGTCCGTATTAAAATAACAATGAATTTCTTATAAATTAATAAACGTCACACCCTAAATGGAATGTTTCTTAACCGTATATATATACTACAGCTAAACATTAATTATTAAAAGCTCAAGAATTACACAACATTTATCTATTTACTAAGTAAACAGACATATTTTAATTTATTTTTATTATAGAAATATAAACCAATTCACAAAATATTTGCAAATTGCTTTTCTAATATTCATCAGTCATTTTTCTATATAATATTACTAACCTTAATACATAAATATTTTTATTATTATGACTATATACACATAGTAATGTACATAGTGAAAAAGTAAATAATACATACTGCTCTAAATCCTTTCTATGTTTATATAGCCCTGTAAATTATTGAAGTGGTTTATGCACATAGGAAAGCCTTAAAAATTATATTGATATGAACTTGATTTTGTATACCTTTCCAGTTTTTGTCACTCAAACGCTCCTTCCAGCAACTTAAATTAGCATATAAATATATTCTGTTTGGTTTTAATAAAATAAGATATATGATAACGTAACTGAGTATTTTTTACAACATACCCTGTTTAAAAAAAAAAGTAGGTGATTTAACAGAATTATCCTGGTAGTAATCTGTCTAAAATAATTTTTTTATACACAAATGCAGTAATCTTGATGTTGGAAACGACATAACTCATCAAATTACGTCAGCATGAACGACCCAATTTTCTAGGAACCACTTATTTATTTTATCGTATTGTTAGGAGCCACAGTCGGGCCTACTGTTACAGTCTCTGTCTGATTTTCTATTTCGGTAACTGCAGCACTGTCAGCGAAAAGCACATCGGGCAGCGAGCCAGACTCTTCCGCTAGTTCTTCGGGTACTTTTTCAACATTCGACACAGTCGTAAATGGTTCAGATGTAGTAATCTCCGCTTCTGTACTGGTAACAGGCAAATTGTTTGCAGTCGTGAACAAAACTTTGTCTATGTAGAACATCGTGCCTAGGTTGTAAACGAACACCTCGCTTTCTACTATCGTTGCATCGTTTACGTCGACATGACCTTAAAAAAGAATTAGATTTATATTAATTAAGTGGTGGCGCCATCTGAGGAATAAATATTAAACTACAAGTGAAATTGTTTGACTCTTACCGTTGGCCCTTTTAACAGCAATAGTCTTGTTTCCCAGCGTTGTCAGTTGGTTTCCGTCTATCAAATCCTTGTCGTACAGTCTTCCCTTTACGAAATGATTCAACAAGATCTGAAGTCCATCACCGTTGGACAGATAATTGTCAGGCATTTTGTCCAGTCCCAATTCTTCGAATGCTGTATCAGTGGGTACAAAGAAAGTGTAGCCCGCACCTGAGACGTGTGGTGCCAGATCGGCCAGATTCAAGAACCTGGTGACGTGTGTGAATCTTTTGTCTCTCTCGAGGGCTAGAAAGGCGTGAGAGAGGAACTGGGCTCCAAACCAGGGAAAAGCCAACAGGGGAGGCGTCTCTTTATCTTTGTGTTGTTGGTGTAGCTTCGACACTACTGATTCGCTGACGAACAGGACTTCACCGATAAACATAATGTTACCTTTCGCTACTGGGGTGTCACCCTTGACTATCGTGGCTCCATTTACAGTGAGACTTGCTGAAATAGGAAAAAACGTGGACGTTGTTTTTTTTTCGGGATACGATCATCAAATATCTTGTTTTAAAGTGAGAATATCAAAAGAAGTGGTGATCTAAACTTTTATGTGCTTCATATATCAATTTAGAAAAAAAAAAAAAAAATTGTAAATTCGAATATGGAGATGAAAAAGGCCACTTTATACATCCTATATATATCTGCCCCCAATCTGGCTAGGTGCCAGAAGAAGGCATACATTACTTCCTTTAGATTTATTCATTTTTTTTATTGGGAAATACCTACGAGCCTTCTTGAATACAATTTCTTTCCCTCCTAGCGTTTTCACGACGTCTCCATCTTTTATCGTCTCCTGCTTCAAACGCCCCTGCACGAAGTGATTGACGATGACACTCTCCGTAAATTCCGGAACGCTGAATGGGTAGAAACCCCAGTCGATGGGGTGCCACCTCTGGAAAGCGTGATCCGTTGGAACGAACACAGTGTATTCCTCATCTGTGAAGAGCAAATATATTTAGTTTTGTAGAGTTTATTTCTAATAGAGATCGTAACCACCTACCTTCCCGTAGAAGCTTGGACACATTCGACCGCGACAGGAAGTGCTGGAACACTCTGACGCCACTCTTGAGGTAGGACAATACTTCCATTATGTTTTCTACGAAGGTGGTGTTCGATAGGGCTTTGCTTTCTTCCTTGGACGTGACTACAGAGTACGCGGATATGTCGACTAACTTTCCTTGGGAGGCATTCTTTCTCATCAGTTGGTCCTCGGGGAAGAGGTAGTTGTCCAGGACTACGAGCAGACCATTCGGGACCTGGTGGAAGAACGGTTAGTGATGAATATATATTTCTGAACATATAGTTAGGTACCTAGTAAAAATATAAAGTCTTACAAGTCCAAAAAAAATTTCTGATTTTGAAACCATAATTGATTTCCAGATTATAGGTATTGAAAAATTTTTAATACTGTTTTTTTTTATATAATTGAGTACAAAAAATGTGTATATGTTTTATTAGCGATTTTAATGTTTCTGACTCATAGTCAGATCTAAATTTGAATTTGCTTCAATTATTTGGCAAACACAGCTTCAAAATTTGTTTTAAAAATGTACGTCTTAATATTATGGTGCTACTTAGTACAGAATTTGGTATAATTTTATTGTGTAGATGTAAAGTTCCACGTATCACAATTCTATACAAGCTCTTCAATAATTTATTGAACAAAATAATAATAAATTTTACGATTGTTGTATTGCATCACTCACTCTCTAATATTATAAACTTACTTTATTTTAGTTTTTTACATCCTCAGAAGTTGTTTCACAATTCCTTACCATTTTTTATCCAATGTTTTATTTTATTACTTACTTTTACATTTTGTATAGTGTAAATATTACAAATATCTAATATATTGTGAACAATATTTAATTATTAAAGTTTGGCGCGCAAAATAATGTTTTAAACGGGCGTTTGCTGTAGCGCCAATTCGTGATGTCATTTAGTGCGATATCGAATTGAGAAGATGAGTGACAGGACAGGTCTGTCAGACGGCATGAATATAGTAAATGAAAAGAGTTTAGAGACTACTAAATTGCTTTGCTTCAAGATTGCCACGTTTTCAGATATTGTCAGAAAATGAAATAACGAGACTAAAAACTTGCCTTGTAGTCTTTTATTTCTGTGCGGATTCATTATTTAACAATTGTAAATTTAAAAAAATATTAAATTAAAACAAATTTGGTGGACAACTGTGACGTGGTGTTAAACTACGTCTTCATTGCACCATCTATTAATAGGAAGTTCAACTGAAATTTCATACCACTGGCCTTCTCTGTTTATTTACTAATAGAGGGCCACAGTCTATTACGCCACAATGGTGTTAACAACGGTTCGATCTAAAAAATTTTTAAATGAAATAAATATAATAAAAATTATATACCTACATTTTAGCTGTATAGTTCGGATTAAATTCATTGTAGAGTATTATTAAGTAGCAAAATACTATATGTTTTTTCTATGCAAACACCTCATTGTAGTCTAAACTGCAGGCTGCTGAGAAGCGTGTTGTCTTCTTAGTCGCACTAAATGACGTCGCAATCTGTTCTTGATAACATGACAAAATTTAAATTTCACAAATGTCTATAGTTAATATATAGAAGTTAATTTTTTTACTACTGTTAGTTTCATCCGAAATTGATGATGAAACGCTTATTTCAACTCAAGAACTTGTCGAAAATAACGAAAAACTTATTATTTAAAAATTAAATAAAAAATAAATTAATATACTTTTATTGCTCTTAATATTTTTGTAAAATAAAAATAAAATAATTATCCTATACAATAAATTATCCAATAACTTTTTTATTTTTCGAGACCGCTAGGTCAATTATTATTATTAGGTTAATTTTACGATTTAAAAAGCTTATTTAGTTTAGTTTTGGTATAACTTTCAAGTCAATTTTAGCCATTTATAAAACCAAAAATCGAATATTTAAATTTTACTAATTACTTGCAAAA